TCTTTGTGTTTGATTTCCATTAATTCAGGGAAGCAGTGTTTCTTTATATGTTTTATACACTTCTGTACACAAACAGACACGTCTAAATCAAGTCAAAACTTTATTGTGCAAGCAGCTATAGTACCTTTAAAATAAAAAAATCAAAAACAAACAAAAAAAAACCCAAACAAACAAGCAAACAAAAAAACATTACTATCTCCATTTTCCCTTCGTCAATCCCTGTATCATTACTTTCAGTTTCTGTTGAACAGAAAAGCTTTTACTTCTAACACTTTCAGTTTCAGTTTAGCAGGGAAGTGCAAAAGAATGAGTTCTGCTTGAGAGTCATCCAAAATTAGGACAGCAAGCAGGAGACAGGGGAAATGGCACAAAAGAGGAGCTAGATGATACTACAAGACAATAGCTAAGGAAAAAAAAAATTAAAAAAAAAAATCTACCTATGGCTTACTTCAACATTACATGAGCCTTGATTATACCACAGTGTTTAGCACTTTGTCTAAGGCCAGTCTGCCTTTACCCCACTTACTCCCAGAACAGTTTAAAATATGAGCCTGGAAATGAGAACTTGAATTGCTTCTATAAAGTGATTTGTAATGTTTGTACAGTTTCTAGGGAATCAACAGCTAAACAGTCTTGTAGACAAGTGTTTGCAGTTCTCTGCAAATAAAAAATATATATATAAAAAAAGACCCAAAAAACAAGACAGAAACCAAAGGTACAAGACTCTGACCAAGCCCTGTAAATCAGTGCAATAAATATGTATGCCTAAAAAGATTCATCTTGGGGTTAGCAAAAGCATCCTAAGAATTCTGTGCAGATTAACATTTTTGTTTGTAAAAATAAAATGAAAAAAAAAAAGGAAACTCAAATAATATAAGGCACAATAATAATCAACTCAAGGTTTCGAGCCCTTTCTTTCTAAAGTGGACATTGAACAAGAAAAAGCCAACTGTAGTGGAAAGCTTCCATTTTATGTGGGTTCATCCTGCAGAAGAAAAACAAACAAACCCCAACCAGTGCACCAGCAAAGCTCCCTCATCTCAGTTATAGCCACTTGATACAGATCCACTTATTTATGTGGGAGGACACTTAGCACACACGCCCCTTTTCACAATTATGGGTTATGACATTAAGTGTTTCCAAATGTAGGTTACAGGGGAGCTTCAAAACGTGCAGCACGAGACATTAGTTTGAGGAAAGCTGTGACAGGCAAGAACATGTTCTTCGAGAGCTATTTTACAACACACACTAAAACAAGCCTTTGAGACTTCATAATATTTTGGGAACTTAAACACGCAGCTCATCAAGCTGACTGTTTTAATTTGACATAATGAAAGGACAACGGGTATGGTTCTAGAGAAAGGTTGCTTTCAAACATATATAGAAGCTTCCCTTCTAATATACTACTTATTTAGAGACTATAGAGATTATTAGTGTTCTGATACTAGTGCATGTATTTGCATACCTTTTTGATACCTAGCAGTAGCTCCTTAAAATATACACTTCATTTTCCTCTAAGATTTTGTAACATCCTCTTAACTTGCTCCAGTTCATGTACAAGACATACAAAGGCAAACCAAAATGAAGCTATTATTTACAAGCTTGCATTTAAAAAGAAACAAAGCCCACACCAACACTGTTGCTCAACTTTGTTTATTCTGTGATGGCTTTCTGCGGTCGCTGCATTCACCATTTCCCCTCTGCTATGTATTTCCTCCATGTTGAACTACAGGAATATTCCTCCTCTCTCTAGCAAAGGTATGCTTTTTAGGTTCGCTCCACCAGGAAAACCTTAGGGACAGGGATTGAGTTATTTACAACTAGAAATGCTGTAAAATATCAAGCTGATAATATTCTTTATTCTAAGACCTTTGTATACATCATGAGTCTCTCCCTCTCTGCAAGACTGAAAATGATTACCTTATACAAGGCAATTTTCCCTTACCCCTTCTCTGACAAATAAACCCTTCCCCATTCTAAATATTTTCCTCTTATCTAGGGCAGCATTTCCACTTCTTTGCAAACAGAAGCACGAAGCACCTGCAGCTCTCCCAAGATCCAAATCAAACATTAATGTCAGGCCCTGATATGCCAGGGCTGAAACAATAATCCAGCATTTCCTTGCTGCAATATGGAGATCAAGAGAGCATTTTCTGATTGTGACACAGATTTAATTCAAAATTCAACACAGAGTCTTGAGAGTGTTGAGTTTCTTACACAGTGCCAAGAGTTGGAGATGGTTTATTTTTCAAATTGCATTGTTTCTGAACAGGTGTTTAATGCTGTAGTTTACTATGACAACCACCCATGTTATAGACTACACACAGTTATCTTCCAGGATCCTTTTGTTCAAGCCACTACATTGCTCTCTAGATGAAGGCCACCAACCAGTATCTTTGCCTTCTCGTAGCCATACTGGTCACAACACACTTTCAAAGGTTACAGGAAGAAAAACATTTTAAAAATACACTTTTTAAAATGAATATTTAAAATTTTAGAGGTAAATACCGTAACAGTTAAGTATCAGAAGAAATATTTTACAAAGAATATTATTAATTCTATGGAGTAGGAATTACATCTTCTTTCCTTTCACTAGTCGTACTGGCATCCTACGTAAGAGCCTACTGGAATCTTACAGAATACAATAAAGCCCATGACTTGTTGTTTTACAGTTAGAGCACTACAATTCTGGCAAATGTTGCTTATACCTTTTGTGCACTGCTGTATTTCTCCTCCCTTCATCCACCAACAGGAATGAAGGAATCCAATAACAGGGAAACACAGTTTTATGAAGACAGACATAAGACTACCCAACATCTGTGATGCACATAGATAAGCACCAAAAATCCATGCATACCACACAACTTTACGAAAGCATGCAAAGCAAGCTAACGCAAAAGCAAATCAGCATTTCCATTCTAACAGAAAACTGAGATTTATGACAACTGCTAAGAGGCCAAATAAGCCCTCTGCTCAGACCATATAAAAAAAACCAAACAACAACACACAACCCTGCAATATGACTGTTCTGTTTCCTGCAGGAAATGAGATGCTTGTATTAGGTACCCCTGTGGTTTTCATACTGTAAATGTATCAGCTGGTACAAATCCTCTGGAGAGGACTATTAACTAATGCTTAGAAAGAGCAGTGGCAACAGCAGACCGCATGTAGCACCTCGGAGAAGCGGGGACAAAAGCTGACAAGTCATCCCTGAAAAAAAAAATTTGAGGGCCAATAGCTGAAGAATACATCCTGTAGTAACGGTGATGTCTGTGAGGAATATTCATACCAACACCCACTTACTTCGCCTTACACCGCTCACTGCTTCTCTAAATAAGGAGCCTACTGCTCATCAGCACTCCTCTCATTTAGGAGCCACAAGCTCCTCACTAAAACACCCGTAGCTACACACGGTAGAGAAGAGTCATCTACGACCTATGCACATCTCACGCATAGCCATTTTCCCTCTTTTCTGCTGCAGTTTTTCCCTTATGTTTCCCAGCTGCTCTGGCGCTAAGACCAGATCTCGCCGAGGCAGCCCTCCTTGCCGGGGCAGGGCTCCCCTCCTCCGGCAGACCCCTCTGCTCCCCCATCAGCATCTCTCCCTCCCGGCGGCCTGGGTGGAGCCGCTCTCCCTCGCAGGACGAGCGCCGATCGTGTTCCCTCCACTGCAAAACGACTGCCAGGGCCAGAAGGGGAGAGGAGAGAAGACGGGAGGGAGGAAAAGAAAGAAGGTGTAAACCTGTCTGGGGGAGAGCCCAGGCACGGAGACGGGAGGGCAGGGCTGGGGGGAAGGAGGGAGGGAGAACAGGGGGCAGTGGGGAGACAAAGAAGGGATGGAGGGCGCCCAAGGAAAACGGGGGAAGCCGGGGAGGGGGCGCTGCCGGGGAGCCCCGCGGGCACCTGCCCGCCCAGGCGGACGCCTCGCACACGCAGATCCCTGCACATAACACACACACGTACCCAGCAGCAGCAGGCGGTGCGTCTGCTTGTACTCCCGTTTCTGCTCCTTGAGCGCCCGGTCGATGCTCTTGCTGACTTTCCTCGCCTCCTTCTCCGCCTCCCGCTCCTCCAGGCGCAGCTTCTCCCAGGTTCTCTGCAGCGCCGGCGGCTGGTGCAGCGCCTGCTGCCGCGCCGCCTTTCCCCCGCCGCCGGGGCCGCCGGCTTTGGTCAGCGGCGGCCGCTCGGGGGCCGCCCCGTTACCGCCGCCGTTCTGCAGCAGGACCGGCGGCCCGTCCGCCTCCCCGCCGGGCTTACCGCCGGGCCGGAGCGGGGCGCCGAGGGGCTGCGGCTGCGGGGCGGCGTGAGGCTCCGCCGCCGCTTCGGGCTCCGAGGCGGCGCCGGTGCTGGAGATGGAGCCACCGCCGGCGTCGCCGAAGAGCCGCGGGCGCAGGCTGTAGCAGAGCCCCATGGCTCGGTGCCCCCGCCGGGGACGGGCTGTGGTGCGGCGGGGTTGGCCTCAGCGCTTCCCGCCGACCCTACGCGCCGGGGAGGCGGCGGCGGGCTGGGAAGGGGCGCCTCGGAGCCCCTCACGGCCCCGCTGGGCCATCTTGCATTTTCCTCCCCGGGAGGCGGCAACGGTTTCTCAGCGCCGATCACCTGACACCGAGCTGCCACCGCCGGGTCCACTTTACCGTAAATACCCCAGCGCCAGCCCACCGCGCAGCACCGGGCGCCGGCGGGGGAAGGGCGGGAGCACGCCGCCCGCGCCGCCACACAGGCGCACACACGTTCGCAGCACCCCCCCCCCCAACCCAGCTTTCAACCGGCTCCGCCATCCCCTCACACTACCCCGCCCGATGGCTGCCCGCCTGCGCCGAGAGGGCGAGGGTCCACCCGCTCCGCGCACAAGGCGGGTAGACCCTCGCTGCCCACACCACCCGCCCCCTCGTTTCCTCCTTCATGGAAGGGCCGCTGGGCAGCCTGTATGAGCTGCGGGAGCTGCAACCCTTCCCCCGGGAATAGGGGGGATACGGCGGTGGCCGCTTCCTAACGGGGCGGCCCAGGCCCAAGCCGCTGACGGCATTGCCAAGGCCGAGGCCTCTGACAATTGAAGGTCCCCCCCAGAATGACAGCGGCCGGTGGGGAGGCCCTGCAAGCCCCGCCGGCATCCTCACAGCTACAACACGGTGTTCAGCCCCTGTGCGCACATGCGGCTTCTCGCCCACAGGCTGACTAACGGTGCCGTGGGAGGAAGGCTTTGGGTGCGACGGGTAGGAGAAAATAATAGGCGGTGTTTGGGTTTGCTCACTCTGTCAGCGTTGGCAATAGTAGTAGTGTGGGCTTGTGGAGGGAAGGCTGGTGCTTGGAGTCAGCCCGTTCAAAGGTGGTGGCAGCCCTCCTCATGGGAAATCTTGGACAAATTCGAGCTAGTCAGAATAAGTCTCAAATGTGTCTCCTCTGCTTTGTCCATTTCCACATTCTTCATCATCTTAGTCCTATTTTTCGGGGGCATGTGGCTACTGGATGAAGCAGTGTGTCTCTAAATCTTAAACCAAAGGTCATGTCAAATGTTCACTATTATGATTGATTTATACCTTGGCATAATTTAGAGCCTCTTACTTCAGTAACATCAACTATGTTCATTATTCAGGCTGGAGAAGAGAAGGCTCCAGAGAGACCTTAGAGCAGCCTTCCAGTACCTAAAGGGGGCTGACAGTAAAGGTGGAGAGGGACTTTTACAAGGGCATGTAGTGACAGGCCAAGGGGCTTTAAACTGTAAGTACATTTAGATTAGGTATTAGGAAGAAATTCTTTATTATAAGGATGGTGAGACACTGGAACAGGCTAGCCAGAGAAGCTGTGGCTGCCCATCTGCATAAATGTTCAAGGCTGTGTTGGATGGGGCTTTGAGCAACCTGGTCTAGTGGAAGGTGGCTTTATTCTTAAGAATGATCTTTAAGGTCCCTTCCAACCCAAACCATTCTAGCATACTATGATCCATGAACTTCTTCATTGATGCAGTGTCTCTTTGGATTTTGTAATGACCCTGTAATATTAGGTCATTGGCTTTGTCTCCTAATTTTCTCCAGTGACCAATATTATATTAAAAGATGCCACTATGTATATACTGCTGTATGAAAAAAATGGAGGAAGGTCAATTCCTATACTTCTTTCTGATAAATGAATTATAGCAAATTTGCCACAGTTTTTTCATTCCTGGATATAAGAAGCAGAATTGTTTTTATGACAGATTTATTTGTGTCAAACCATTTAGCAAATGTCCTCTAAAATGTGCATTTGGTAAATGCAGTGAGTTGTGCATTAACATTCACTGGGAAAAAAAAAAAAACAGCCAACCCAAAACAGCACACCACCCTACATTAGCATAAAATAAATAGATGCCTTTTAACTGAAAGCATCAACTGTCTTTGACTGCACCACACAAAGGAAATTTTGCCAGTGAAAATATTAGCAGGATCCGGCACACTGCAGACTTTGCTCTCTTCTACCCTTCACAATGCTTAACAACTATTTTGATAGATGCCTTAGCTCCAAGAAGAGCATCCAATAGCTGTTGCTTCTATTGCATGTTTTAATACATGATTATATAGTGTCCTGGTTGCAATCTTTTTGCAAAACACATAAGCAGTTACATCACAGCAAAGGATGTTTCACCACTATTTCAGCGGTGCTGTGTCTTTTTTTGTGACTGTTTTTGTGGACCATAAGGGTATAAGATCTATCTCTTAGGTTGTGAATGAAAGATTTCAGTTTTCAGCTGAAAACAGAGCAGGAATTTGGATAAGTAGAATCTAAATGTTCAATCTGGACTGAATAACCAGGATCCTGGGATTAATGGCTGTACCCTTTTCAGTGTAATTGGATCACAGAGGAGAATTTGCTACTCATCCAACAATGCAATCAAAACATGAAGAAAAATACCAAAGTAACGGTGAAAATGAGTTAATATTTGGGGCCTAAATGTCAATGCACATATTTAATTTTGTGAAGGTGATTTTTAGAGCATGGTGCATTCAACAGCACTTGCAGAGTCATGAGCTGTTTTTCAAGTAGTAAAAGAAATGCTGTAACCTGGAGAAATTAGTTCAGATTAGGTAATAATGTGCTTCTGGGCATGTATGTATATACTCAGAGATGAGCAGGGAAGGTGAGTGAAATATTCAGGGTTACATAGGAGACCAGGCAGAATATGTACTGTAAAATTACATTCTTTGTAAAGAATTTTGAAATATCAGACAATGTAATAACAACCATGCATAGATAGCATCCTTGAAAAACAGGCCACTCAGCCAATCACCGATATAAATACTCTACCTATAAAAATGTCAGACAAAGTAAGTTTGGTCCACTGAAAGATCTTTTTGTGACCTACAAGAGCAAATTTGGTCTTGAGGGAAAAGTATTCTTAGGTTTTTTTCCTTATGACTTCTAATAAAGAACAGTAAGCAGCCTGTCTTTTTTCTTTCCCCAGAGAAACAGCAGTCATCACTACTTCTGGATTATCATGGACTGGGATTTTCAAGAATTTAAAGTGAGACAATTGATATAATGCAGTTTTCTGATCTAAATACTCTTTGGAAGATCTTTCATGGAATGTGCAATGTTTTCTAAGGTTAGTCATCCAAATCAGAGCTTAATGACTGGCTTAGTTTTTCAGTAGTACTACTTATGATTTTCATTATATGGACTGAAGTTAGAATCTTAGACTTGTAGAACAGCCCAAGACTGTTTTATGGGGAAGGGACCCCCAAAGGCATCTTTCAAAAGATTATTTGGTCCAGCCTTTTGTGGGAAAGGTACCCTAGATGAGGTTATTCAGCACCTTGTCTAATCGTGTCTTTAAAAACTCCAGTGATGGGTACTCTGTCATGTTCCTGGGGAGATTCTTCTAGTGAATTATTGCTCTCACTGTAAAAACATTCTTTCTCTTATCAAGACGAAACAGGAATACTATGATGAAATCACTCTTGAGCCTTCACTTCTCCAGGGAGAAGGTCCTTCCTGAGCCTTCTCCAGAGAGAAGAGATCTACCTCCTTCGACATCCTTATGGGGCGTTCTCCAAACCTTTGATAAACCTTTTGATCATCTCTGTGGCCTGCTTTGGACCTTCTCCAGTCTGTCCACATCTTTTTTGAGTTTGTGAGGAGACTTAATTAATATATATAGAGAGAGAGAATTAGGTCTGAACTAAAGTAGACACTTTAAACTGTTTTTTTGTTTCTTGCATTCAGTGTATAGTTTCACCTCAGAAATAAGTAATTAGAGGCAGTTTCCAGTCGTATGTAGCAGCTGGGTATGTTCACAAGATGGCTTTACTTCAAGGAGTAAGACATTTATAGAAAGTAAATATATAAATATTATTTCTATGAAGAAGGGTCTTTACTAGTTCTTAAAAAGGAGTGAAATGTATGTGTTTCTTGAACACTCATATGAAAATAATTTGTATTTTTTTCTGGTTTTATAATAATTTTTATTTATGAATAATTCCCTATACTATGTAGCTTTTGGGGGTAGATACATTGTCCCAAGTTTTAACCAAGACATGAGTGTTGTGATCAAACTTAAATAAGGTTAAGTACAGTTTCCTGGAGGATGTAACTGTGTTGGAATTAAAGAGACCCCAGTTAAATGGACCTGTAAGAAGTTTGATAAGGCAAGAATCTTGAACACAGGGAGAAGGTTTTCTGGGGCTGGATGTTTGTTCGTCTTCTTGTTGCTCCAATTAGTTCCTCAGTGAATGGGTTTATCTATATTCTCTCTAGAATTTTGCCATAATGTTTTTATATATCTTGTCAGAATGTGAATTGAGAAACTGTAATTTCAGAGCCTGTACTGGGATATTTTTTTCTAAATTATTTTGGTATTTCATCCTCAAGATTTTTCAGGACCTCTGTGATTATTAGAGAAAAATGTTGCAGGGTTTTGGGGTTTGTGAAAGAGGAAAGTTACACGGTAGAAGAAAAAAAACACCAGAGAAATGCGTGCTGGGACAAACTAGATGTTTGCAAAACTCCTGCTGAGGTTAATTTTCCTCATGGATAAAGGGTCTAGGAGGTACCCAGCTTCCATCAGATCTCTTATCTTCTTTGATAGGCACTTGTCAAAAACCTACTTGCTTTCTGTGTGATGAATACTAATATGTTTGTTCTTAAGGTTTATAATAAACTCTAAACTGTATTCATACTGTGCCTGTATTGCCTTACTGTAACATTTCTGGGTTGTGGGAAAAAGAAAATACTGTTTTATGATATATGTTTTTCTCCCTAAAGGCTGAAATCTGTGTTACTGATAGAAAGCCTACCAGTAGCATAGCTACATCAACAAATCTGTTTGTGAAATGTATGGAGGTTAGATGAGTCTGCTGACATTCTGCAAGTCTCTGGAAGTCCAAAGAATTCCCTTGGTCTTCTCTTTGAGAGACACCCTTAACATGCAGTGTAGTTTCCTTCCTTGTGATCTGAAAAGCTATGCAAAGGTATAAATATGGTAATTTTTTGCATTGTGTGTCAATGCACTGGCTGCCTTTCCTCTCCAAACTCTTTAAGGGACACCCCAGGATATATAACTTCTCCATCCTATAGTCTCTCCTTCCCAACATCATCTCCAGAGCTATGATATCCAGGAATAAAAGTAGCTTCACAATTTACACTGATATTAGCGTTTTATATACTAGTTATTTAGGGAGCCAGTTTTAACTGGTAAATCAATGCAGTCACCTACTGCTCACTAGACCTGTGGAAATCTCAGCTATGTGAATCCCATGAATTATTTTAAGCTCATTCTTTAAAGATTCTGTTTTGTTTCACTGATAGATCAGTAAATAAAAAACAAGTAAGTAAATTATTTTGGACTGCAGTAAATCCTTCTAGTTTCTATAACATGCACAGACACAATAAGTATAATGCCCCTGTTTTCACAGAACAATTCCAACCTTCACCACAGATTTTATATGCCACTTTTACTTACTGGTTGCTTGAAGCTTCTCAAAGTGGGACCAAAATAAGGCTTATAGTGGGAATTCAGCTACAAATGTGATAGTTGTAGAGGAACAGTTATCCAAATCTAATTTTATCAAATCATCTCTCAGTCATCACCATGGTATTTTTTTGCGCCTTGTCATATCTGAGCATGATAGCAATAAAACAATTTACCATTTCTGTATGGAGAGCCTCTTTCTCATAAATGCTGTAAACAGTCTGCAGCTCTTTAAAGCAGGATTTTAGTTTGTCACTGATAATAAAAGAATAAAGGATTTAGGTTTATTAAAAGTGCCATTAGTGCCACTTGTGTTAATGTTGCCTTATACATCCCATTATTAGACTCTCTTTTGCTATGCTTAAAACCATATAAAATGGGATTTGGGCTAAATTTCACCTGCTGAAGTCTATTCTGACCTGAATGGTTTTGTTCGTTGTAACTTCCCAAAAGTACCTCAGCCATTTTCACAAAAAGTTTAATGGAAAATATAGTGTTGACAAGTTAAAAAGGTCTTGTCTTTAAGAAGGACTAATAGTTTATCACTATTGCATCAGTCATGATAGATCTTTTTGCTGTAAGAGAGATGATTACCAGTATATAGAAGACATTTTAAGCAATGTCAGAGTAGACAAGCTTAAGGGAATTTACTGCAAGTACCAAAATAAGATAAAGTAGGTCAGCTTGCTTGAAAAGTAGGTTCTGAGCAAATAAAGAAAGAAAACAGTTAGAAAGAGTTTTAAAATACAAATTGTGGGAGAAGCCAATTTTCTGTGGTACTGTATAAAACAGGGAACGGTAGGAGCAAAACAAAGCAAATTGGAGGTTTTGTATTCTTAGCAGTGTTATCAGACAGCACAATTCACTATTGTCAGAGGCATAACTTTTGATTTCTTTGTAGCATTTAATTTGTTGCTACCTTTAAAGGAATTTGAATAATAAATAAACTTATGAAGATCCCAGTGATCTCTCTTAAACATTTTTGTAAAGATTTCTTTAAAAAGTCTGTTGAGCCATGTTTGAATCAGGTGTTTGTAATATTTTTTGTTTTATGAGTATGGTTTTTGCTCTGAGAAAATCTGATTGAATCTGACCAAATAGTAACACTTTAAAAACTGTAACTTGCACAATCTGAAGCACAGAGCAGAAAACCATCCCAGCTTTCTTCTGTGATGAGGAATGGTCCTCCTTGTCGCAGACCTGATCCAGGCAGAGGGAAAGGATGTGACTTTAGGACCACTTCCATTAAAAGACTCTGATCTTATTTTGCATGTGAATAATGTATGTATCTATTGCATACCACATTTCTTTTAAGTCAGGCAAGCGTGCTTTATCGTGGGCAACCTCAATTTATTCCCATATAAATATTCATTGTGACGCAGTCTTCAACTTCAAACAACTTCAGACTAAGCTGCTTGTTTTGGGGACTCTCTGCTCTTCATGTGAACAACCAGCAGAGCTGTAAAAGAAGTCTCAGCTAACTATAGGGACTTCTAAAACCTTGTGAATATTTGGGAAAAAAAATCTTCTATTTTAGAAGATATTTTTAAGTTATTGCTTTAATGCAAAAACTAAAGTAAAACAAGACAACAAGAAACTGAGATGAACTGATGCATAAATGGAGATCATCATGCAAATTTAACTTTAATTTCAATATTAAACAAATTCGTCTTTCCATTTCAACTGAGAATCAACCTAAACAATATATTGAATATTCTATTGAATAATAGAATCATAGAAAAATCTTGTTTGAAAGGGAACTCTGGATATCACAGTCTGAATATGCGTTTTGGAGGCTAAGAAAAAGCGGAGAAACAATATAAACATGAATAGACAATAAAATTTGGTCCATAAAATAATCTTTTTTCTGCAGTGCATCTTTTTCCAGTGAAAACTGATGGAATTGTTAAAATTGGAATATTCAATCCAAAAAGTAAATTAGAGTAAATCAGAATTTTCAGTTCCTTCCAAGACTAACCACTTGAACAGGACTGAAATAGCTTTCACTAGGAAACCAGTGAAAATGGGAAATATTTAATCAATCCTTATTTTAGAAATCAAGAAGAAAGAGCAGGAAGGAATATTAGACGAAGAGCACCATTTATAAAAATATGTTGAAATGATGTTTGTCTTAGGATAAAAGTATTTAAGTAGTTTTAACAGAAGATGATGAGATAAATGTGCATGGATCTTTATGGCTAGCAAAGTTAATTAGGATTTCTTTTTACTGAGAAATCCACTCAGTGGTGGAAAACCCAGAGCAGTATTTGTAACTGTTGTAGTAATTTCTTAGTCCTGAGTTTTCTAGATTCCCAGTACTGATTTAATTGGCCTGTGCATTAACATGGAAGAAGCTTTCCCATTCCTTTTTCCCCTTGTCTTACCCTTTTTCATTTCTTGATTCACTACCAAGAAAATAAATTAGGAACCTGAATTCTCAGCAGCCTTTCCACACTTCTCACTATTGGCACAGCAGAGAAGTTTGAATACCTCAAGAAGTATGGCCTCTTCTATGCATTTCTTACTGCTGAGGAGAGACTGTCCCTTTCAAGCAGCTTTATGCCAAACCCAAAATCTAGACGGATACCAGCTTTCCTCTCCTCACAGAATCCAAACAGAGAGGATTATCTGCTTTT